GGAGGAGGAACCGCCGCCGCCCCTACAAGCCGTTCTGGTGGCGGATAGCTTCAACCGCCGCTTCTTCCCCATCTCCAAGGACCAGCCTCGGGTGAGCGCCTGGGGGAGAGCCGTCGGAGGGCCCGGAGCGGCGGGGGCTGGAGCTGGTTAACCTTCCGTCTGCCGGGGGAGGCGTGCTCCGGGAGGACGCGTGTCCAGCCTCCTTGCTCGAAATCGGGTGTATCTAGTTAGGAGAAGGGCAGGCAGACGGGCAGAGCCCGCCCGTGAGGCTGGCAGCCGTGGCCGTGCTGTCTAACTCGGGTTTGGGGGACATGGGAGGCTAAATTGGAGAAGCAGCGCTTGAGAGAAACCCTCACGCGGTGAGTCGACGCCCCCTGTGGACGCTGCGAGGCCTTTCTGCGGAGACAAAAAAGAAATCCTTAGGTGAAAGGGAGTATCACCTACTTTTGCCTAAAAAAGGTGCAGACGGGTCTGATCCCAGAGGGACAGCTCTTTTGGGTCTCGGTGCAGTGCACTTTCCCCTTCCAGGTTTCAATGACAGCCAGTGCCATCTGTCCGAAGGCCCAGAACAGGCTTAGTGGCTGGTGGCCAGCAGCCTCTGTCTTGTTGTCTAGACCAGCTATTTTCAGCCTTTTTCATCTCACGGCACACATAAGCTAATTACAAAAATTATGCGGCACCCCCCCCCCAAAAAATATATATATATATATATTGCTGATCTGACCAAAAATAGGTATACTGGTAATGTTGATTCTTTAACACCATAAGCCTGTCGTTGTGTTGGCTGTTGTCATTTTGTATTGGATAATCTAAGGGAAAAGTGGTCAGTGCCCCTGACTAACTAACTAGTCAGGTATTTGCATGTTTTAAGATTTCTTGTGGCACACCGGTTGGAAATCCCTGGTCTAGACACTGAGCTATGAGCTAGTCCTGGATACTGCTGGGTCACTCAGCCATTCCTAGTTCAGAGAGAGGGAACTGCGTTCAGTTCAGGGAAAATCCTGACTCCTCACTCCCAGCAAAAAGCCTCATGGCAATGCATTTTGGACAGGTGATTGAGGTTGGCTAGCCCCCGACTCTTAGAAAGGGATCAAGGAAGGAAGTTTTATGGGGAAAGGGCCTTAGCAACGCTTGAGTTTCTGGAGATAAAATTGATTTCCAGTAGTCTCCTTTGTCAGAGGGGCCTCCTATAAGAGCTCTGTATCTGATTGATGCTAAGCAAGTAGATTTTATGCTTACTATATCCAAATTGCAACACCTTACCAGTGGTTCTCAACCTTCCTAATGCCACGACCCTTTAATACAGTTCCTCATGTTGTGGTGACCCCCAACCATAAAATTACTTTCGTTGCTACTTCATAACTGTAATTTTGCTACTGTTATGAATCGTAATGTAAATATCTGATATGCAGGATGTATTTTCAGGGGTCTCGACCCACAGGTTAAGAACCACTGCTAGACTAATGCTTAGAGCATGCTATGAACATCAAAGGCAGAAGCCTGATTACTTTTAAGTTTGAAAGATAAAACAAAACTATAGCATTTGGAAACTCTGATATAGGAGTGAAAATTGTTGTAATGGGGGAAAGAAAGGTACGTAGAGGGCCAGATTCAAGACTTCACATTTTTTTCATCTGCCCTCCAGGTCCTCTTGCCGCTGGCCAACGTGGCATTAATTGACTACACTTTGGAATTTCTGACTGCCACAGGCGTACAGGAAACCTTTGTGTTTTGTTGTTGGAAAGCTGCTCAAATCAAGGAACATTTACTGTAAGGCCCTGCAACTTTTCTTTCCATGTTTCACCATTTTTGTCCAGTTTTCTAAAGATGAATATAAATAAATAAGGGGAAAATGTGTCTATGTAGAGGCCATCATAAGGTCTAAGGGTATTCTCTTCACTTATCAGAGGTGAGCAGTTGAAACTGTGACAAAGATTAAAGGATAGCATTTGGGTTTTTTCTGAATCTCTTATAAAGTTTGATCCCAGTGGGTTTTGCTTTTTATTGAATGGCTCCAGTATGGAAGTTATAAGAGTAACATGTTTGTTTTTCCACTGAGTTTCTAAATATTGAGCTGTTCCTCATCTTTGTTCTTTTTTGTGTTTGTTTGTTTTGTTTTGGGGGGGGTTGCTTTTTTTTGTTTTTTTGTTTTGTTTTGTTTTTTCTTGCTGTGGTAAGCCACTAAATGTGGGTGTTCCTCATCTTAGTATTCTCAGTGCTTAGTTTACTACCAAACACAGAATAAGCACTTAACAAAGTTTGGTGAAATCTTCTTGGAAGGTAAATGTCAGGACCTATGGAAGCTTAGGAAATAAAGACTTGGATATTAGCATAGTCTCCAATAGACAGTTCCTAAATTTGGTCTGGGTTTTGAAAGGAGAAAAGTGGCATGAAAAGTGTGTTCCCAGGAAACTTTGTATATCCTAAGTCTCAGCAGGAATTTGAATTCAAATCCATGTTTGGGGATAAGGGTTAGGCTATGGAGAGGAAATAACCATGCTTCTCTAACCCATAAAACAAGCCTGGTGACACAGGATGCTGAAACCATTAATTATAAGTTTATAAAGCTCTTTGAAGTTGAGGGACGCTGGCAGGAATTCAAAAAAGCCAGAGAAGCAGTATGAATGTTGATTGGGGGAGAAAAATGGGGAAGTTCTACATGATCTTTATGTTTGATTTACTCAATCCCTTCACTACCACCACCCTGCTTCCTTTAGGAAATCCAAGTGGTGCCGCCCTACATCTCTCAATGTGGTTCGAATAATTACATCAGATCTATATCGATCACTGGGGGATGTTCTCCGTGATGTTGATGCCAAGGCCTTGGTGCGCTCTGACTTCCTTCTGGTATATGGGGACGTCATCTCAAACATCAATATTACCAGAGCCCTGGAGGAACACAGGTCAGGATGGGAACATGGTAGGGACAACGGTAGGGGACCAGCAGAGCCCTAAGACTCTCTCCCTCCTATCCTTTGTAGGTTGAGGCGAAAGCTAGAAAAAAATGTGTCTGTGATGACAATGATCTTCAAGGAATCATCCCCCAGTCACCCAACTCGTTGCCATGAGGACAATGTGGTAGTGGCTATGGATAGTGCCACAAACCGGGTTCTCCATTTTCAGAAGACCCAAGGCCTTCGACGTTTTTCTTTTCCTCTGGTGTGTGGGTGTCTGGGTTTTTTGAAGTGGGAAAGTGACAGGATTCAGTGTGACTGGTTAAAATCCTTATAACTCTCTCCACAGAGTTTGTTCCGGGGCAGTGGAGATGGAGTGGAGATTCGCTATGATTTACTGGATTGTCATATCAGCATCTGCTCTCCTCAGGTGAACCCTTCAGGGCCAGGGCTGCACAGAGTAGAACTCTTTGATTTGTTACTTCCCCTCCCCATCCCCAGAAGGCCAGGGGCATATTTCTACTCCCTCTTTCTCTCATTTGTTCTACAGCACATAGTTGCTGTCATCTTGACCCCAATATTGGGATTCTGGCCCTTGTCCCACTGTCATAGGTCTGATAGGTCTCTGGGGACTTATCTTTGCTTCCAGAGAATAGCACTTAACCTTGACCCCATCCAACTTCCTCCCATAGGTGGCTCAACTCTTTACAGACAACTTTGACTACCAAACTCGGGACGACTTTGTGCGAGGCCTGTTAGTGAATGAGGAGGTAAGAAAAGGCTCCCAGTGCCTCTTTAAAAGAGCACTAAGCCTGGCTGGGTAGCTCAATTGGTTGAAGCATCCTCCCAGTATGCCAAGGTTTTGGGTTCAGTCCCTTACCAGGGCACATGCAAGAGTGAACTAGTGAATGCGTGGATGGGTGGAACAGCAGATTGATGTTTCTCTCTCTCTAAAATCAAACAATGAATTAAAAAAATGTTTTTAATAAAATAATAAAAGAGGGCTAAGATTTCATCTCATGCAGATAACTTTTGGTCCCCTTTTCTATTTTATTGAGCCTTAGGAGGGAGGAAAATAGCTGTGGTTGGGGGGAAGCAGTACACAAAGAAAAGTCTCAGGCCATTTGTGACATTGAGTGGCAGAGGGAAACTTACGAAAGTAAGAAAAGTACTGTACCTGGGGGTGTTCTTCCTCTCTTGCTTGCTTGGGCGACCTCCCTTTCCTTGTCCTCAGATTCTAGGGAACCAGATCCACATGCATGTGACAACTAGGGAATATGGTGCCCGGGTCTCCAACCTACACATGTATGCAGCTGTCTGCGCTGATGTCATCCGCCGATGGGTCTACCCTCTCACCCCAGAGGCAAACTTCACTGACGACACAACTCAGAACTGCACTCATTCCCGGCACAACATCTACCGAGGGCCTGAGGTCAGCCTGGGCCATGGCAGCATCCTGGAGGAAAATGTGCTCCTGGGCTCTGGCACTGTCATTGGCAGCAATTGCTCCATCACCAACAGTGTCATTGGCCCTGGCTGTCACATTGGTGAGCACAGGTGGGGGAGTCAAGCCAGTCATCTGAAGAGTAGGAACCTGGGGAGGAGGCCCATGTCTCCAGAGGAGACAGAGAACTAGTCCTTGAGAATAGGGACCTAGAGTGGCTCCCTTAACAAAGGAGGGAACAGAGAAGAAAACAGTGAAGCTGTCGTTTGTGCCCTGTGAGCTTCTTACTGGGTGATTCCTCACATTCCAGGGTACCCTATATTCATATTCAAGACCAAGTGGATAATTAACATGCAATAATAACGTCTGTGCATTACAGCTTACAAAGACCTTTTGCATACATTATTTCATTTAATCCTCACTAAAACCTTGTGAGGAAGGTGTTACTTATCCCCAGTTTATAGGTAAGGCTCAAAGAGGTTGTGTTGCCCAAGGTCATAGCTAAAGAGGCAGTGCTGGAGCTTAAATCTAAGTATTCTGATTGTTAAGTCCAGTGTCCTTTTTATTCTATCATACTGCCTGGTTAGCCTCTTAGTGACTCACTTTAGATGTAGGAATGTGATGCTTTAAATTGAACTGCCTCTTTAAAAGACCAATAAGATTTTAATTCAAAATGTACAAGAAGAGGTGGGATAGATATGGACATGAATCTAATAAGTTTCTTGAGGTCTAGAGGTCCCCAGAAATCTTGAGGGTTCTCCGGTTCTTAAGTCCTGTGTGATAGCCCTACAGCACAATCCCACCTTGAGGGCCTTTGCCCACTATTCTCCAGCCAAATCATATAAGCTGTCATAAACCTGGTGGAGGATGGGCAGGCTGAGCAATGTTCTACTCTCAGGCCTGGGCTTAGAAGGGAAGCAGGTATTTCTGGTGAGTTGGGGGATGGAGTATTTGAGCTGGATGGGAGCTATGCTGGTATCAGTCAGCCATGTCTTCCAGGAATGGCCCTGGTCTGGAGTTGGAGCCCTGAGTGACCAGGAGTTCTTCCTGTCCTGAGCCAGGTGATAACGTGGTGCTGGACCAGGCCTACCTGTGGCAGGGTGTTCGAGTGGCTGCTGGAGCACAGATCCATCAGTCTCTGCTTTGTGACAATGCTGAGGTCAAGGAACAAGTTACACTGAAGCCACACTGTGTCCTCACTTCCCAGGTGAGAACCGGTTCCATACTCTGTACAGGCTCCAAACTGAGTGGTGGTCATGCTAAACCAGAAGGGACCTACGTCCAACTATAATCCAGCCTGAACTAAGATTCCAAATCCAGTGGTTTCATTTGCCTGCTACTTGGCTTAGTCACTGTCTTTGTCAGAATGTAATTTCCCCCAACACACTAATGGATCTGTGCCACCCACTCCTTTTTTCTCCCCTAGGTGGTAGTGGGTCCAAACATCACACTGCCTGAGGGCTCGGTGATCTCTTTGCACCCTCCAGATGCAGAGGAAGATGAGGACGATAGCCAGTTCAGTGATGATTCTGGGGCTGATCAAGAAAAGGAGAAAGTGAAGCTGAAAGGTGTGAGGCTCAGCAGGTGTGGGGCATCTGTGTGTCTCTCTGCCCCATAGAAAAACCAGTGTTTCCTCCTGGAGGAATGCGTACTTCCACAGGCCCTTGCAAAAGATCATTGTCTTTCCAGGTTACAATCCAGCAGAAGTCGGAGTTGCAGGCCAGGGCTACCTCTGGAAAGCTGCAGACATGAACATGGAAGAAGAGGAGGAACTACGGCAGAATCTGTGGGGTGAGATAGGCCCATTCCTGCCACACACACACACCTTTTCTGAATCAGAACATTTTAAAGGAGAGTGAACACTTCAGAATCAGACTACTTGTTCTGCTTTATTCATGCAGACAGGCCATATATATGATTCTCTGTCAATGGCTCATTCCTTATTTTTCTTTTTTCTTACCCTTTATGGGTTCTCAGGACTCACTATCAACATAGAAGAAGAAAGTGAAACCGAAAGTGAGCGAAGTATGGATTCTGAGGAGCTAGATAGCCGGGCAGGCTCCCCACAGATGGATGACATCAAAGGTGAGTGGCCAGGGAAGCAGTATCTTGGGATGAGAGAGGAAAACCTCGTTTATTCTTTATCTGGATCAACTAGCCAAAGACTTGTATTCCTCCCAGGAGAGGTTTGGTATCAAGTCAGAACTAAATGACTTAACACCTTCTGGAGTAATGTTGGCCCCACGAACTTATTCTTGCTTTGATTTTAGTGTTCCAGAATGAAGTCCTGGGATGACTTAACACCTTCTGGAGTAATGTTGGCCCCTCTTGCTTTGATTTTAGTGTTCCAGAATGAAGTCCTGGGAACACTACAGCGGGGCAAGGAGGAGAACATTTCTTGTGATAACCTAGTCCTAGAGATCAACTCTCTCAAGTAAGAGCAGCCCTTCCCTATTTTCTTTCCCTGGAGTAATCCCAGGCAGATAGAGGCTCTCCTGTTTCTTCCCCATACAGGAACCTGTTTCCTTGACATCCCGAATGTACAAAGCCAGTAGCATTTGGAGCAAGGAGAGCATTAGGTTTTAGTCTTGGCATATTCCTCCTTCCAAAATTCTCCCCTTCCACGTTGTTCCATCTGACTTCCTCTTCCCCAGTGTCCTACCAAAGTCAGCCCTACAGCATGCTGAAAGGGCCAAGGAAGGCCTTGGTGTCACCACAGTCTCCCCACAGGTACGCCTACAACATAAGCCTAAAGGAGGTGATGCAGGTACTGAGCCACGTGGTCCTGGAATTCCCCCTGCAACAAATGGATTCCCCGCTGGATCCAAACCGCTACTGTGCCCTGCTGCTTCCCGTGAGCAAAGATTGGGGCTGAGTACAAGGGGTTGGGTGGAAGCAAATACACATCCTTGCTGTGGTGATTTTAAAAGAAATCAGTAATAGAAGGTCTTGTTGTGGCATATTGTGTTTCTCCTCACCTCTGGAATCAGACTGGATTCTAGAGCAGCTTTGGTTGGTCCAGAGGAGTCAAGTTAGGTTCAATCCTAAGTGGCCTTTGAGACTCCAGGATTCAGGCTATGCCAGACCCCAAAAGTATACCCAGAACAGATCTGGACTTTAGACTCTCTGACTGTAAATGATTTGACTCAGAATAAGATCAACCTGTAGGCTGGGAATAGGTATTTTTGAGGCAGCCTGCATATCTGACCCCTTTCACCATCGCTGGGGAACCTCTTTTTCCCCAACCCTGACTGCTAGCAGTTACTAAGTCCTTCTGATATGATTCCACAGGGCCTATATCATCTCCTTGTCTTCCCATATCATGAAAGATGCATGCTATCAATATTTATTTTCTTTGCTGTTCAGGTGTATGTCTCAGGCATATGTTGCAGCTCCCTTTTCCTTTCTTCCGTAGCTGCTCAAGGCCTGGAGCCCTGTTTTTAGGAACTACATAAAGCGTGCAGCTGATCATTTGGAAGCGCTGGCAGCCATTGAGGACTTCTTCCTGGAGCATGAAGCTCTTGGTACTTCCATGGCCAAGGTGAATACCAACTCAAGACTAGTCCTGCATTTGCTTTGAAACAGGCTTTGGTGACCTCCATGGAGCTACAAACAGAGACTGACATGAATCCAATATGGAGTTTGGTTAACAGCACCATCCACCCTGGTATTGTGTTCATTGCTGGGATAGTACAGCTTTGCCCTGGGAATGCATAGAGCACTACCTAGCAATAGTTCCAGAAGTTATACCTGTCCCAGTAAAGAGCTTACTCTTTTCTGTTTTGGAGAAGGCTGTTCAGTGTAGAAGAGAGCTAAGAACCTGGTAGTGAGAGGTGCTAAGATCTTGCCTCCTCTTCCTCTGTTATCCATTAATCTTGCTGGACTCTGCATGGTCTCTGAGATCTCTGCTGGCCTTTGCAGGTATTGATGGCTTTCTACCAGTTGGAGATCCTAGCTGAGGAAACAATCCTAAGCTGGTACAACCAAAGGGATACAACTGACAAGGGCCGGCAGTTGCGCAAGAACCAACAGGTGAGTCAGGCTACCCTCTTGCCATGGTGGTTGTCTGGTCCTTGGCCCACAGGGTGGTTGGTCCCTAGGACTCTGATTGAGCTGTTTATCCACCAAGGAGAACAGGAGGGTTATGTGCTCCTCCCTCAGTAGCTCTCCTCTGTGCTGTCTTACAGCTGCAGAGGTTCATCCAGTGGTTAAAAGAGGCAGAAGAGGAGTCATCTGAAGATGACTGAAGTCCTACTGCCTGCTCCAGTGGGTGTGAGTGAAGGCCCTCCTGACTTCTGGGCCAGGGCAAGTGAGAGGCTAGTTGCAGAATATGAGTGACCACCATCCTGGCTGAGACTTAAAGGAGCAGAGGCTGGAACTACAGTATTCTTCTCACCGCCAGCAACCATGTGCCTCACATCCTGACTGGGGAGTTGGGATGAGGGAAGTTGGGCTGGAAAAAAGCTCTGCCTAATGAGGAACTAAGCAGGCCCTGCAGTTAGAGGAAGGCCAGAGGCACAGCTTTGTGTTTTGGCTTTCCCTCGGGAAGCAGCAGAGAGCAGCTGGCCTTTTCTGCTGCTTGTATTTGTTAATTTTTTTTTTTTCTCTAAATTGGCTTTTATTTTTTGGTGGGGGAAAATTAAATCAGTTAAGACATTTTTGAAAGAAAAAAGTATTAAATAAAAATTAACACTTAAAAATAAATCTCAGAAAAACCAGAGTTAATGACTTTTGAAGCATATTTTAGAGTTTTGATATTTATTTTTAATTAAATCTTTATT